ATACATTACTATGGTAAATGTTCTCAGAAAATGCAAAAAATATTATAATGAATAACGAAAAAAACTCGAATTCGAAAATTTATTTTAATCATTATGTACAATTTCATCAAAAAAATGTGATTGTTGCAACTTTTTTTAGATAAAAAGTTTATTTATTAAATTCTAATAACATTTATGTCAGAAAATCTCATAAAATATAAAAATACATGTAAATCATACTATTGAATTTAGATACTTCATTCTGATTACGTTATTCATTATAATATTTTTTGTATTTTCTGAGAACATTTACCTTAGTAATGAATATTTATTTACACCATCAGAAAGTTCATCGAACAAAAAGCACACCGACTTTTTGAAAAAAGCTGATATTTTGACGCGAGAATTTTCGATTGAAAATTAGGGTGCTTTTTTGATATTAAGTCAAAATTTTATTAATAAGGCGAAATAATAAATATTTCAAATCAAATAAATTACAGTGTATTTGGGACATAAAAAGGTAAGTTTTCACCAAATTTCGTGGAAAAATTTTTTTTTTTTGAAAAAGATAAAAATAAAAAACCAAAAACTTGGTTTTTTGAATTTTTCACATAAATTTTGAGGTTATGTAAAAAAATTGTAAATACAAAAGTTGTAGATCTTTTTATTACCTACAACTTTAACTTTTTTCCATAGGACTTGTAGTTTTGCCGGAAATCGAGATAAACCATTTTTTACCCTTAAACCCCCCCTCCCACTTCCCGAACTCAGATCGCCCGTAATTTATTTTTCCTTTAATTTTTATTATATTCCCCTCCTTTTCCAATGGGTTTCATCCTACTGTTATTTTTTTTCTCTTTTTACCATTTTTAAAGGCTTCTGCACTGGTCTATACGAAAATAAAGTAACCATTTCAATAAATATTTTTGACCATTCCCCATTTATATTGCCCGTTATTATTTTAATTTAACATAATAATTATTGATACTTTAAAATATGATTCTGTTAAGAAAGTATTGTTTCTTTCTTTTGATTTTGTTTTATTCAAAAAATTGCAAAATATTATCACAAAGTATTAAAAATTCTTACACGAAAATTGTTAAAGGTACAAAAAGTGACAGTTGTATTTATTGGAATTCTCGAAGTTAAAATCTTAAATATGTTTGTGTAAATCAAAATTTATCCTTTGAAAATAGACTAACAATCGATATAGAGGCAATTTTTCATAGTAAAAGAGAATTTTTTTTTTAACTCCACCACTACGGCGAAATCAAAAGGTCTGCACTTTATTTTAACGATTGTATGACATTTGACAACTGTCAACTAACTTCAGCTCGTGACTAAAAACCTGTTGCTTACGTGACTAAAGAGCCTAAAGCGCCTAAAGCCACAACTTGTCACGTGTCATGGAAACATGTAGGATAATAGGCGTTTTAAAGGTGGGAGTAGAAAAAAAATAGTAATTAGCCATATAAATATAGTGATTGTCCGGCGAATTAACAGTGTCCCTTATTTTAAAATTCACATAATTAATGAGAATGAGAAAATATAAAAAATTGCATAAAAATCAAATGAATAATTAATTTGTCAACAAAAATATTTCATCAAAATAATAATTAAAGAATAAAAACGATCTGTCACCTTTGGCAAGTTTTTAGATGAATTAATTTTAAAGTTTGAAAGTCTAAGTAGGTACTTCTAATATATATTGAAAAAAAAATAAAATAACGTTTTTACAAGTAAAGCAAAAATACAAAAAAAAAACACAGAGTTCACCAAAAAAGTGACAAAACCAACCAAATTTTGTTTATGCTTTCTGTTAGGAAACAAAGATTTGACAGGTGCTTAAGAATATGTGAGCAAGAAAATATTTTTTTTAAGTCGTGGTTTGCATCTGACGTTTTTTTAAATACTCCCACAAATTAGGTGGACTGATCGATTTTCCATAAATTTGGAGGACTTATACCGCTCTTTCATCGTAAGCTTGTTTTTAAACGCGAATATAAGGTACTAGAATCGGTCTTTCAATGGTTTACTTTGGGTGAAATAAAATACGTATATATATATTATTACGCCAAATATTATCTGAGTACCTATAAGTACTCAGATAAAATTTGGCGTAATAATCCTGATTTTTATTTTTCTGGACTTGGAGCCTTAACTGTTGCTAGTGGGCGTGAGTGTCATTGCAAACAATGTCAAAATATCAAGTTTCAAATTGATAGTCGAAGGTATCCTAGATTTCTTTGCATATTTGAAATGGGCATACAATAGCGCAACTTTTTTACAGTTCATTAGATGCCAATGGTGGGATATGAAATTCACACCACCCTGTATTATCATAGGCCTCCAGTGTATTATCGTCAGTGTATATAACAACTGCAGTTATTTCATTAATACTTGTTTTTTTGTACCATCATAATTAAATTAATTAATTTCTATAAATAAATTATTTAATTTCATCTTTTTTTTTTATTTACTATTTATTAACCCAAAAAGATTACAAAAGAATACATAACAGGTAACAAACATAATTATGTGGATACATTTCTCTTGTTTAATAAATACAACTTAACTAATGAGGTAAAAGTACATAGTAAATTCACATTTTTTATATATTCTGGCAGTTCATTAAACCATACCACAGCAGTGTGTTCAATTCTTCGCTGACCTATGTTTCTAGCACTAGGTAAAACATGATAATGTTGATTTGTCCTGGTGTTGTGCTGATGTATATTGCAGTTCATTTGTATACACTCTATAGAGTCAATTCGGTTTGTATCATGTTGGTTTTGATTTTAAATACTAATTTTAAAGAATCCTGTTTAATAATTTCGTGTATTTAAAAATTTTAGATCATGATAAAGTATTGAGGTGTTTGTTCTTGGAGGTTTACAAAATATAAGTTTTACTGCTCGATTTTGAGTGACTTGTAATTGGTTTAGGTCATACTCAGTCTCAGGCTACATTAAGTGACTATTTATATATGCATGGTATAAATGGTATTTAGTCTGCAGATTAAGAAAAACTGTATTTCTGCGAATAAAAATAAAAATATAATACTATATGAAACTCTACTATTGTTTTATTCTAAATAATTAGCAGTTGCATTTTATTATCAAAAACAGTACATATTTAATTTATTTGCATATTCTTTCAGTAGGTAATTCATGAAGAATTAATAGTATATTATGTATCAAGTTTGATAAAATTTAATGAAATGATCACTCGAGTGTCTAGAAAAGTTTATAAACGAGTTGCATACTATACTTTTTCTATGACAAATACTTATTATTATTCAAACATGATTTAAATTAAATATTTGTATAGAGCGACATCTATACAAAAATATAGTATAGTATACTATACTATATATATAATTTAGTATAAATATAGTAATATAGTTTTTTTGTAACCGTAAGAATGAGAATCTGTATTACCGGCGGCAAATGTCAAATTATTCTGTGTAAATCGAAATTTAACCCTTATATAAACTTTTTAAATATTGGCGTGGAGAAACTATTTTATACTCTTGTATTTGTGTATTATTTCACAAGAAGGGCATTTTAATTTAACGATTTTATGAAATTTGACAACTGTCAACTAACTTAAAGCTAACTTCAGCCCGTGACTAAAAACCTATAGTAACTTTAGCCTGTGACTAAAGCACCATAGCTTGTCAATATATATTTAAAAGACTTAGTGTCATGGAAACATGTACGATAATGGGCGTTTTAAAGGTGGAAGTAGGAAAAAATTCTTTTGACTTATGTTTACTCGTTGCTAATTTAGGAGAAAATAATTCTAGTTCTTTCAATAAATCCTCTCCCACAACCTTCGTATATGTTTCAAATGATACAGTTGCAGTCACAGGTGGACGACGATAAGGTTTTCTTTAGAGTTTGTAGTTATTGCATTAAGACACTTCGGCTTATCTACAGCATTTGGATCCCAAGGATACAGCCCGCCAGCTTTAAAAACGTTTTTGACAGTATTTCCATTGGGCGAAAACATGTCAAGTGCATTTTTCAATCTAAAGTTAATTACTATGTTGTATTTTTCTACAAAGTAACTAAGACAAAACTGACCATTAAAAAATAAAATAACGGGAAGACATGAATATTAAATATTTTTTTATTTATTCACAAAATAGCTCTGCGTTCATCTAGCCGGTTGGTGAAACAAACGTTCCCCAATCATCAGGTACTGATTTTCCTATATATAGGAAGGTAATTTTGTATGAGGAAACAACAGTTGGTGGAGTTATTACTACACTTAAACTAAATGAACGAATGAACAAAACAGTTAAATTGTGTTTTAAATTTTCGCTATCAATTTTGTATAAATTTTGTGCTGCACGAGGGGCAATATCGGAGTATCGGACAGTTGTTGGCCTCTATATTTTATACAATATGTGCGTTATTTCAGCTTAAATATCTATATTTTTTTGTAAAACCTAAATCTTGATTATTCAGAGGCGGATTTAGGCATGGACAACATGGGCTACTGCCCAGGGCGGCAATTTTTTGGGGGGCGGCTGATGCTGGGAGGATATATTTTTTATGTAATATCAATATATACATAATCTGCCGCACCCCAAAAATTTGCCGTTCGTCTACTGCCTGTCCACGTTTGTACAAGCTCTAAAAATTCTCGGTTTTGACAATGCTGAAATTCGCGGAAGGGCAAAATTTTGGGAGAAGTTTACAAATCGGATCTGGAAGTCTCAATAAAATGTTTTTGTTTTATAGGAAATTTAGAACATGTTTTAGCAGCGAATTTGTAATACTTACAATTTTATTTTTTGTAATTGAATAAAGGTTTTTATTATTTAATATTTTAAGGGTTTACACAATCTGTAAGTGACCTAAGTTTGTACCTTAGCTCTTCAAAAATTTCTTATCAAAACTTTTATAAATATTTTGTTCTACCTACTTGGGTTATCATCAATTCGAGTACCTTAGTTCGTAAGATTAAATATGTTATATTATATATTAAACCGATAAAAGTAGTAATACGTATGAATTGGTAAAATCAATCATTAAAATGAAATTTTATTTGTTAGTGGTGTTAATACTTTTAGGCTTCGTTTCGACCCATAGGATTTCCTATGATGGGTAAGATATTTAAAAATTAAATGTTCTATTTGCTTTGTTACCTCCTTAAAAAAAATACAATTAAATATCCAAATAGGTAAAACCCAATGTAAAAATAAGTTTTTATTCTCAATACAAGATGAGAGAATGACTACTTAACGTCTAAACTTTAATAAGGTTACATTACGGTAGACATTTTCAGTGATACTTATTGTAAACTTTTTTATAGGATTTTTTTACTAACAATTTAATTAAATAAATATTCCATATTTTTATTTGTGTGTTTTAGATATAAAGCATTTAGGATCAGACCCACGACCATATCTCAATTAAAAACTTTATCGAGCCTTTCTAAAAAGCCAGGCTTTGATTTTTGGAATATTCCAAGGGTGATTAACAAATCCATTGATGTTCTCGTTGCGCCAGATTTGTTGGAAAGTTTTCAAACATATTTGAAAACGAACCACATTATCTACCACGTACTGATTGAAAACTATCAGGAGTAAGTTATAAACTACGATGATGGGTTCAAAATTGATATAATTTTTTAGGGTGATTCAAATCGAAAATGTTGCGTTAAAAAGCAAAAGGTTGAGAGAAGATGTTAGTTTTAAGAAATACATGACCTACGAACAAGTAATAACTGTTGTTTTTCAATTTGTAATGCATAATATATATCTACATTTTAGATCGTCAACTACCTTAAAACCTTAGCCAAAAAATACCCAGATATCGTTACGGTTCAATCAATCGGAAATACCGAAAATAATCGTAGTATTCCTTTGATTAAAATATCGACCGGTGGAAGTAATAAACCAGCAATTTTAATAGATGCTGGCATCCACGCCAGAGAGTGGATTGCACCACCTGTAGCTTTGTATACGATTCAACAATTGGTTGAAAATGCCACCAATATCAGACTTATCCAGAATGTCGATTGGTTGATTGTTCCTGTACTTAATCCTGATGGATATACCTATACTTTTAACAACGTAAGTTTTTAATTTTAACATTTAATGTTTGCAATTAAAATTGTGTTTTTGGCATACTATATGCTATAGCATATATTATAGCTATAGCAACTATAGTTTTGTATACTTTTCCAAACTTTAATTCTGTCGGTATACAATTATTTCAATTTACTAGGCCAAAATTCATGAAACCACACAGGGGCATGTGTCTTGTGCCAAAAAAAAATTTCTTGTGTAATTCGATTCTGTTTATTAACAATAGATTAATAAAATTATTGATTATTTGGGGCAAAATTCCTGAAATCGCAGTTTTGAATAAAAAATGTGTTCAAGTATATATATACATATATATATATATATATATATATATATATATGTATATATATATATATATATATATAATTTATTTATTTTACTATTAAGCAGTACCTACTATTAAGATATTTGGTATTCTACAATTTTTTCTTAAATTATAGATTTTTTTATAGAAATAACGTTATCTATCAATAGATAATGTAAAGACTTTTGGATGATATGACTTGTATTAAAGTTATATAATATAATTGTAAAAAATTTCAATAACATTCATAATTTGCTCGATAACACTGTGCGACAAATTTTGACCTTACAATTTGAACTGGGATGAAATGTGGAAAAATCGAATCTATGCAACCCCCAAAACTAATCTTTAAAGGGGTTTTGCTAGTTTAGCTCGAATAATGGAGATATACAGGGTGTTTCTTTTAACTTGAGACAGCTCAATATATCGAGAAATACGCATTTCACGGAAAAATGTCTTAAATAAAAGGTTAATGTGACCAAATGGGACATTATTTGGTGCTACCGCTAGCCACCCCCTACCCCTCCTTAAGGGTGAAACAGGGGGTAACTTTGGAAAGTCAAATGGAATGACCCGATTTTTTTCACAGAGTTTGGTAGTACATAAAAAAATGAATAACTTTTATTTGAAAGTTTTTTTCAATTTATCAACAGATGGCGCTGTAATTCAAAATTTAAGAAAAAGGGGTTTCCTTGTAAAATGTATTATTTGAAACGTTTGAAAAACAAAAATTAACATTAAATCAACAATAGTCGGCTCTGAAAACAATTTATAACAAATGTTCGAAATGTCGTCCTTCCATTTCGACACCAAGTGTAGCACCAGCGTCTGGCACGGTAAACGTTTGGTGCGGTACCTTAAGCGAACGATTAAACGGACCCTTCTTTATTGACGGTGCATTAAATGGCGAAAAGTACCGGAATTTTCTAGAAAACGATCTGACGGACCTTTTGGAGGATGTACCACTAGCACGGCTCCAAAACATGTGGTACCAGCAAGATGGTTGTCCTGCACATTATTCGACAATTGCTCGAGAGGTGTTGGATCGGGAGTTCAATGGCCGGTGCACCGCGGTGGATCGGTAGACGTGGTCCAGTAATTTGGCCTGCTCGATCACCTGATCTTACGCCACCAGACTTCTTCCAGTGGGGTTACTTGAAAGAAAAAGTTTACGCTGCAATTCCTACAACTTGGGAGGACATGGTGGAGCGGATCAGGAACGCCTGTGCGGCGATACCGCCCGACATGTTGGCGCGTTGTGTGCCAGAATTCATTACCCGCATTCAAAAATGTGTTAAAATGGAATGACGACATTTCGAACATTTGTTATAAATTGTTTTCATAGCCGACTATTGTTGTTAATGTTAATTTTTGTTTTTCAAACGTTTCAAATAATACATTTTACAAGGAAACTCATTTTTCTTAAATTTTGAATTACAGCGCCATCTGTTGATAAATTGAAAAAAGTTTTAAATAAAAGTTATTTATTTTTTTATGTACTACCAAACTCTGTGAAAAAAATCGGGTCATTCCATTTGACTTTCCAAAGTTACCCCCCATTTCACCCTTAAGGAGGGGTAGGGGGTGGCTAGCGGTAGCACCAAATAATGTCCCCTTTAGTCAAATTAACCTTTTATTTAAGACATTTTTCCGTGAAATGCGTATTTCTCGAGATATTGAGCTGTCTCAAGTTAAAAGAAACACCCTGTATATCTCCATTATTCGAGCTAAACTGGTAAAACCCCTTAAAGGATTTGTTTTGGGGGTTGCCTAGATTCGATTTTTTCAGATTTGATCCCAGTTCATTTTTTGTGTTGCACAGTGTAATTTGTTATACGTTTATAAAAATAATCCCCTTATTAAGATAAGAAAACAAAAATATAATATAAATAAAAGATACGTAAAAAACAATTGTTTGTTTTACCTTTACATACTTAATAATAATAGGTACCCAACTAAATTTTAAATCCAAACATTTGCTTCTTTCCAGTGGATATGGTGGAAAGTTTCCACCATATCCAACTTAAGAGTGAGGCACAACAGTTTTTGTTGTATAATAATAAAAATAATAAAATATGTAATTAAATTATCGTTTGTTGACACGCTTTGAATTACTATTAATACAGGGTGTTTCTTTTAACTTGAGATAGCTCAATATCTCGAGAAATTAGCATTTCACGGAAAAATGTCTTAAATAAAAGGTTAACCAAAGGGGAAATTATTTGATGCTACCTCTAGCCACCCCATACCCCTCCTTAAGGGTGAAACGGGGGTAACTTCATAAAGTCAAATGGAATGACCCGATTTTTTTTACAGATTTTGGTAGTACATAAAAAAATGAATAACTTTTATTTGAACCTTTTTTTCAATTTATCAACAGATGGCGCTGTAATTCAAAATTTAAGAAAATTGGGTTTCCTTGTAAAATGTATTATTTGAAACGTTTGAAAAACAAAAATTAACATTAAATCAACAATAGTCGGCTCTGAAAACAATTTATAACTTCAACAGAGACCAAGGGATCGAATTGGCCGTTCTCTGGGTGTATAGCCTTACACTGTTCAAAATTTCATGACCATTTTAACACTAAATTGACACCATACATGGTCTATATCGATACAAACCAAAATGGTGTTAAATAAGGTTCGTTGGTCCGGTGTAAATTCAAATACTAAAATGGTGTTAATTTAACTTTCACACAGTATTAAAATTAATTTTACCTGGTGTAAATTAAACTCCTTTTTAGTGTTAAATATTATGTGTTTGTGGTCAAATTAAATCATACTACACAGAAAAAAGGAAAAAAAAGGAAACACTAGTATATAACCAGTGGTATTATTCCAGAAAATGGAACCTTCAACTCGCTAGAGATAATGTTTTTAGTGCGTTCCACTAACTTAAAATACTTCAAGTATTGACAGCTGTTTCCACCTATTTAAGGTTTCTTTAGTATCGAACAACTTGTAGTCACTACAATGTAGTGTCACACCAAAGCAAAGGACTGAGTTTATATATTCTTCATGTAAGTCAACAGAGGCGAGATTTAAGAACATCACGTGATCCACACCGCCTTTGCCGCGATCGGTACACATTTTCAACCATAATTCGTGGTGTTATATTAACACCACTTGGTGTTGGATTTTGACACCATTTTCAGATTACTTTTTACACCACAGATATTTTAAAGTGTACGCGTGTGTTGACATATTTATTGTCGTGTGTAAATTACCGTAGGATGGGGCGGTTTTGTTTTGTTTTTTTTGTTATATGTCTTTATTTTTGATGTTTGCTTACTATTATCCTACTAATGTTACTATTGTTGTTTTCTAGATTTTAAGCAAAGTGCCTAATTTAAGTTTTAAGGTAACTGTCGTGTCCAAAGTTGCAAATTATGTGTTAGCTAACACATAATTTGCAACACGACAGTTACCTAGACCATGCAGATGTTTAAGGTTACTTATTCGATTTTGCAGATGGACCTTTCCTCCCTTGGTTTTCATCTTTTGTTTGTCCCGAGAAAATCGTCCAATTGACAGGTAGTAAGACCACCCAGCTTATCACTTTACACTTTCTTGAGCGTAGGGTAGTCTATACTCACTATTATAGATAATAGATAGATAATAGATGTTACACTATTTTTATTTGCACTTTAGTAATTATTTGTGGGTTTTAAGCTTTTATGTTTTCGAGTGTTAGTACGTGACTGTCCATAGGTTTTAATAAAATCTGTTAAAAATTGCTTACACATGGACTATTTCTCCTGCGCTACTGTTTAACAACCCCACAGACCCCTGTCAGTTTGACAGGAAAACTGATGGAACGTTTTAAACAAAGAACTAATTCTGTAGGGGCCTTAACAGATAAATGAAGTTGTTGTTGACCATGTAACAAAGAAAATACTATTAATTATTGTTCGAAACGAAAAAATACGGCCTTTAAGAAACTGAATTAATTAATTCACAACCGCAGTACTTCATGCCAGTAGTAAATGCCCAGTCGACCTTAATTTTATGAAGGTCGACTGGGCAATTATTACTGTCATGAAGTACTGCGGTTGTAAAAACTTGTTTTAATTTAACCCTTTTATTATTCGTTTAAGGATCGATTGTGGAGAAAAAACCGTAGTCCAGGACGCAGATGTTACGGTGCAGACATTAATAGAAACTTTGACTTTCACTGGATGGAAGGGGGTGCCAGCGCATACGAATGTGAAGAAACATATGCCGGGTCTAAAGGATTTTCGGAACTCGAAGCGCAAGCTTTAAGAGACTTTATCCTTGCAAATTCCGAAAATATTAAATTATACCTTACTTTTCATAGCTACGGAGAATATATGCTGTACCCATGGGGATACACCAGCGATCTGCCTGATGACGAACCAGAACTGCGTACACTTGGCACCGCTGTCGCTGATGCAATCGAAAAGGCTTCAACAATTGGAACTTCGTACACTATAGGTACTTCAACGAATGTTCTTTACGAAGCTGCCGGAGGTAGCGACGATTGGACTAAGGGAGTAGGTGGCGTTCAACTTTCTTACACCATCGAACTACCTGGTGGAGGAAGTGAAGGTTTTAATCCCCCGACAAGAAAAATTTTGCCCGTTGTTAGGGAGACTTGGGAAGGAATTAAATTATATCAAGCTTATATTGAAAAAAAGTTTGCTAACTAAATGATTTTAAAAACGACATATTTCAGAAAGTAACTGTATTTAATTAAAACAAAGTATAACAATAACAAGATAGTTGTGGGCCATTTTTATTTCTTAAATATTATTCCTGTTAAATCGCTCACCTTCTCTCCATACACTCTTGAAGCCGAACGTTGAAATTCTGCATAACAAGACGCAACATATCCAATGGAATATTAGCAAATTCTTCCTGAATTTTTATTTTCAGCTCCCGAATATCTCGTGATTTGTCAATGAAAACCTTGCGTTTTAGATAGCTCCACAAAAATTAGTCGCAGGCTGTAAGATCTAGCGATCTTGGGGACCACTCAATATCTCCGTGTCTGGGGATAACACGACCTGGAACAATCCTCGCACGGAATCAATCCATGCTCTTGCGCCATCTTGCTGGAACCAGCTATTGTATTGTGGAAACATGTTCAGTTGCTGTGTAAGAAACTGGTTAAGGAACTGGTTAATTATGTCAGTATAGCATGCATCATTCACTGTTAAAGCATTTTCATTGTGAACCTCAAAAAAATAGGGACCTATGATTCCCATGGAAGATATTGCGCACCATACTGTTACCTTGGGGCTGTGTAACGGCTGTTGATAAAGTTCTTGTGAATTTTTCAAAGCCAAATAACGGTTTTGTTTATTGGTATAGCCAGATAAATGAAAATGTGCTTCATCAGACATCTATAAATTTTGAACGTCAATTTCATGATGCAGCATCGTTTCAGCGAAATGTAGGCGAATAGGAAGATCTGTTGGTTTCAATGCTTGGACAATGTGGATTTTGTAAGGATGAAAAATTAAGATCCTTGTGTAAAATTCGAAAAAAAGTAGTCCCAAATAAGCCTAGACTTAAACTTTTTGGACTGCGGTCTACAAAAGCTCTATCGCGATCAATGTTATCAAGACTTTTAACACTTCTGTTTGGTTTCTTATTTTTGACATCTTTAGCTGATCCAGTGTCTTCAAATTTACAAACCCACTCTGAAACTCTCTCGTGAGAAGTACCCAACTAGCATTTATGGTGGCAGATACGTAACTGCCACTATCAAAGCCACTACAAAGGGGGCGGTGACCATCGGCGGCTACGTTGTATATTCGTAGCTGCTAAGTAACTGCGACCAAAATGGGGAAAGATTTTGAGTAGCCGGGTAGTGTCTTGGGTAGTTTTTGCCACTAAAAGAGTTACTACGATATGGCACTATAAAGTAGCCTACCGTTGAATGCGACTTATCTGTTACGAAGCTGCCTAGTCGCGGGTTCGTGGCAGCCTAGTGTTTTGCCACCGACATGTAGAACTTTCATTAAACTGTTAAACTTTATTCGCAGCGACCTCTTCAGTTTCACACTTCATAAAAATAAATGTCATGATGGAAAGTAATTATGGAAGCCATTATTATTTTTTTGTTATTTACCATGCGATTTTAACGCCTTTTGTGGGTCAATTCCAAAACGCAATCGACTTTACTGAATAAAATAGTGGGTTTATATGACAAAATTTTCGAGCGCCTTTCAAAACATTTCAAATTATTAAATTATTTGCAATAGAAACTCATGTAGTAATTAAAAAAAAAATTAATTTGCTTAAAACTGGCGTGAAACTTTAAAATATTAGTCCACCGTCACAAATAACAAAATATCTAAGGAAAAAATCTTTAGTTTAGGTATATTTAGCTTAAAAACGCAAAATGTTTGAGCCATTTGGCTGTTCGTCTGAAAAGTCATGAAAAAAATATGGCCGTTTAATCCGAAAAATACTTTATAGTTCCATATGCTTCCACAAAGTACCGGGAACAATAATATATTAGGCCAACCCTACCCGTTTGGAACTTTAAAATCTTCGGATTGATAAAGTGACAATTGCAACTACCCAGAGACGACTTTATGGAAACAATAACTTTTTGGGAACTACATGGTCCACGATTCTTTGGAACATAAAGTGATTTTTTCCAAGAAAGTTCCCTGCGCCACTAAATTGCCACTTAATTGCAGCGTTTATGCTACACCGATCGCGGCGTGCCACTATAACGTTCCGGCTTGTCCTTTGAAGTTCCCGTTTGGCGACGCGAGAATCATATTTTTTGTAAAATGCAAATTGAATATTATCAAACCTAATGTTTTACTGGTTATTGCAATTCTTATGATCACATGAAATTATTCATTTATTTTCAAAAAAATTAATTATTATAAAAAAACAGGACCCACACCGTTTATGACGTCACTTCCGTCTCGTGTCGTTTTTTCTAGGTTTATTAATTACTCTCTTAAATCTTGAAACGTTCTCTTCCACTTAATCTTCGAATCCACGACTTAAGTAGAGAGCATACAATATTCATTTTTACATAGCCCAAATACCTACAAGTAAGGCAGAATGAATAACATTCATCAGCCCAAGATTTGAACGCTTGACTCAGGTGTAGAAATCAGAACATACATCAACTTTGACTGCAAATACTTCAGGGAAGTATTGATAAACTTGACCCATTAAAAATATTTAGCACCTTGAATTTCTTATATTAAATTCCTATTCATTACAAAATATTTAAAGACTATTAAGGTGAAAACGTTCACGTAAGATAGATAATAATATTCATCAGCATCTCGATCAGAACGAGATTTGAACACTTGACTCAGGTATAGAAGTCAGAACATGCATCAACTTTGAATGTGAATAGGTACTTCAAACTGTTTGAATCAAACAGCTTTAAAAATGTCACTACCTGATTTATGATGTTCATCAGTACGATTATAGAAAGATGTAGTTTTTGTTTCTGATGTTGATGCTTCGGCTCCCAGTGATTCCTTTTGTTTAATTCTTTGATAGAAAGTACTAGAATATCTAAATTTCTTTTTATTTACCTTAAGCATTTTACAGAATTTTAATAAAGCTTAAAAGCAAGAAAAGAAAACACCAAAACAGAGCAGCACACTATAGTGCGTAACATATATGCATATATGCAATCTGAGGCAATTACATTTATTAGGGTATATTAAGTTATGGTCACTATTAAGTAGCCATTTTTGATCCCCGCGACTTTTTAGTGGCAAAGGATAAGCGACGGCTACTTTATAGTGACCTAGGAAGGTCGCAGTAACCATTTTGTTACTTTCAATGCTACTATAAATTAGAGGTAACCAGGTGTCGTGGCCGCGACTACCCCGTAACTTAAATTGTTACTATAAAGTAACAAAAACTTAATGGAGGCATTATGGTAGCACTTGTTGGTGACCGCTACTTTAAAAAGTTACTATAAAGTTTTTGGTCTTTTATGGTGTCATATTCGAAGATTCAGGTAGTTCCAGCCACTTCTTTAAATTACATGTTTGCCACTTGCAATCGGTGTGTTTATTTTCCACTTTTATGGTAGGTAGGCACTAACCAGTCACTCTCGAAATATACTTCAAAGTGACTATTCCTTATAGAGTAACATTTTAAGTGGCAGGGTGGGTCTAGGAACTATACTTTAGGGGCAGTGACATTTAAAAAGGACTGGGAACTATATTTGCTAATTGGGTAATGTTGAAATTAATTCGAAATTACCGCTGTGCTGCGACCACACAATCATTATTTTTGTAATAGGTTTAATCACAAAAGAACGTTGTTCGCCGGACCACTGTTCCATGATTACTTAATGGCATAAAAAAAGATAATTTGTCATACTATGGGAACTTATGCAGAGTAACGAAATAATATCATTTTCAAAACTTCCCGCTTCCATGATCCCCTTGTATAACCCAATTTTTGTTTTATTTACTCCGCGCTATATTGAAACCATTTAATTTTTTAATTTCACATAGGTATACAATAACAGGTTATTTAACTTTTTAGGAATGAAATATTATATTTCATCTATTCCTATTGCATAATATTGTTTTTCCGTATAAGGATAATCAACCTTAAGTTATTGACGGAAATCCCGTTCGGAGTGTTTTGTTGCAAGTCAGTACGCTCCTTAACAACGGAAATAATTAACTTATTATTCCGTTGTTTGGCATCAGTGATTGGCCGGTTTCAATATTTACTGTGATTTGAACCAATTGGGTTTTAAATTAAAAAAAGGCAACTATAATATTTAAAATTATTAGAGTAAGTTTAACCATCTGATGTCAGATTTTATTTATTTATTTTTGAAAATCATTTAAGTATCTTTTAATTGTAGTAGATAATAGACATACTATATTAGTATTAATAGATATTATTATATAAGATTATGAGCATTATTCTGAATAATTTATTTACTCCGATGATTTGCGTCTCCTGTCTGGGGCCTCGAGATAGACGCAAACCTCAACCTCGTGAATTATCTCTCGTATAAAATAATATACAATTTTGAATGTTTTTCTTTATTTATGTACGATTTTTTTGAAAAAAAAACAGTTTTAAACTGTTAAAAATACAATATATATTTTTTTAAGCGTAAAACAATAATTATATTAAAACACTCATAAGCCTATATAGAAAGGCTTTATTTACCTTATTATACACCAATATACAACAATAAAATTGCATAGAAAGAGTGGACCCAGCGTAGATAACCTAAAATTACAGGTCACTGTAGAATAAATTAATTACGTAATATTCCAATATATTATGTCAAACGTCAAACCTATAACAAAAATAATATAATATATAATATACGGCGAAGAAAGAATATTTACTGCCTCGCTCAGATCTGCTGCCTTGACTGGCGTCGCGGCACTTTTTGCAGGGAAATAAATGTACTACAAAATTTCTATTTGACTTTTAGTTCTATCATCAACGATTTAGTTTATAGATCTAGCTAAATTATGCGTGATTTATTAAAAGAAAAAAATAAGAAATGTATTAAAAGCATTATTATTAGCATTAGACAATTGAGTATTATTTTTTGTTCAGAATTTACTGCTCCTAAATAATCATCAGTAGAGGTTGAAAAACAAATGGATTTATAGGATGCAGGATAAAATAATTGAAAAAACATCCGTGATATTTCAATACGAAATATGTTTGAGGAAACTCTTAAAATTAATAGTTGGATTTAACTGAATTTTTATTATTGCATAACTAGTTATAATTAGGTAAAAATTTATCAAACGGATCACCCGAAAAAAAATGTCACAGGTCAATTAAAATCTATTTTTTTGGCCCAAAAACCTTTTGGGCCAAACTAAAATATTGTTTGCAAATGTTTGCTTTATTTGTAGTTTTTTTTATTTTAAAATTCGATGAAGATCATGGCCTGACATTTATTCGGATGTATATATTGCATTTACTATGTTAAATAGTTAATTTATAAAAAAATATGATCTACGTCAAACTTTTAATTGAAAAAATCTTGCTAATAACACTTAGTACAAAAATACCCGGAAATTCCAAAAGGTACTTAGTTGGATAATTGTTTACTCAATTATAATTAGTTAAAATGATATAAACTATAGTAAATGTACATGGTACATGATAGTTTGATAATGTTAGGAATTAGGCGACGATTAAAATAGCAATTGTTTCTAATGTTTTATTAATAAATTAAAAATCATAAAAATGATTCTTTTTTAATAATGGTTCATCGCGCAAATATGCATACAAAAATATGTAATTCACTATATTTTATTACTTATACATATATGGGTGTAAAAAAATTTAATTACCTATATCAATAATATAAAAACAAACAATTTTGACAAATCTTCTAGTTTTTCTTACCAAAACTAAAGAAATTTTTAATGGATGAACCAACATCCCCTATCATTTTTGTAAATTTAAAACCACTATTGGAATTGTGAGGATTGCCAAAAACATACACTTGGTTATTAGCTTCATCCCTATTTTCGTTGTTTTCCGTATCTTCATTACTTTGTAAGTATGATGATGAACATGGAAGAGAATGAATTGGTTGTCTACCCTGAATGTGGGAACCCTGATATAAAAAAAATTAAATAAATTATAAATTGTTGTAAATAAAAAAATTAACATGTCGCGTTCCGAAAAAAGGAACTTAAGCGACGCTTAGGGAGCTAAGAATTAAAAATTTTCTAAAAAATTGATAGCCTGAAAAACTTTTTTTTTTCTGGAGAAATTGAGGAAAGTTAATCTTTTGTTATAAACTAAAAAAACTATTTTGATTGCTAAGGGGACATCCATTAATTACGTGAGGTATTTTTCTGATAATTTTACCCCCCTCCCCCTTGGTGAGATGTGGTAGACTCCCCCATATCCCTCACGTGAGATTCTAGCCATGAAACTTTCATTGAGGACAACATAATAAACCTCAAAATTGAATTATATTACATATTCTTGAAACTCAAAAGTTAAATGAGATTTGGTGAAATTATGCTAGACCCCTCCACCCCATTTTTATCTCACGTAATTAATGGATGTCCCCTAAGCATGACTTATATTTAGTATTTTAAATATTTGGAAATTACCTATGTTGACGAAAAAATTCATTTTTTCTCTAAATCTCAAAAAAAAATTTAGGTAGTTATTGTTTTTTATTAAAAATAACTAAACGATACGTTAAACTAGTTAATTACGTCATTAGGCTGAGTAGTGAGTATTTTTGTGTTGAGCTCAAAGTTGGAGGCTGACGTGAAGCACAAAAAGACACTCCTCAGCCGAATTAGCCGAAAATGTACAATTATAATTATTATTAAAATTAGACAGTGAGGTTAGATTGATCTGACAGTTACATAACTTTTTGATTGGTCCAAATGAGTTTTTTACAGCCTATGAGGTAAAAACTTTAGCTGATTGGAATACATTATTTTCACAGCCTAGGATTATTGAATTAATTATTTAGTAGTAATAGCGGTAATTTTAAAGGGAAAAGAAAAAAACACGTGAGAGCGATATTAGAATAAACACAATGTTACGTAGAATGTTTACCGCGTTGTTAGATGCAAACAATTCAAGGAAAATTATTTTTTTAGATAATTAAAGAGCAGTCATTAATTAAAATACAATGGCAATTCAGAAATTGATTCCTTTTCTCAGAGCCATCACATATATACCTAAACAGAAAATAATGAAAATATAACAAATCTTAAGAAAAGTAGGTACCGTAAACACGGGTGGCTTTAGCTCACTTTCAAACTTAAGCTTAAAATTTTTGTGGTTTTAACAATCATAAACATTCAATTTTGTATACCAAAATTTGAGTCTTGAGTTGCTCTTTCATAATAACTATGTTATAATATTACATAGGGCTGAGTTTCAAAAATTAAAAACTGGGTGTGCAAAGTTACCCCCTGGTTGTGGGTAACTTTGCTCACAGTGTATTTTCCGTATAAAATTAACTCAATATTTTATTTTATTTTATTTTTATTAGACACGCGACATATATCTATTGCAAGGAATTACCGATAAAAAAAAAATCGACCTGTAGTTACCCAAGGATCATCATTCCAAAGGATTGCGCATAATATAGAAATTGTAACGCGTGTATTTCTAAGAGTTTTGCACTGATGCGATAAATACAATTTTAAAGTGTAATAAATCCCATTTCTTTCTTTAAAAAACTGATTTTCCTGTAATATAAACTCATTAGAATCGCTCAATTGACAGGTTTAGATCAACAAATTATAAATGGTAATTTTATCAAGCGCGAAAAGATATTTCATAAAAGGGGTAAAGTCACCCGCGGGGTGCAAAGTCACCCGTGTTTACGGTAACCAATTTTATAATACCAATTTGGACAATTGGAAAATGGAAAATGCCTTTAAATTTCCTACACATACAGTATATATAAAGGGTGTCCCGAAAATGGTGCATTAATGCCATAGGGCAAAGTATCTCAAAATTTAAAGTTAAAAAATAATGGTAAATTTTAAAAAGATTGCAATGCTGTGCTTGTGTATTAAAGTAAATACTTTTCAGGGTCGTAAATTTCCCAGAATTTTTTGTACAGTACCTTGTTTAAGAAACATGTTTGCAATAGATAACCAATAACTGGCAAAGTTCATTTTTCAGACAAACATTAAGATGCTTTTTTATAAAGTAAGGTCTAATTTTAAAAATAACAGTATTGGTATAATTATTATGTTTGTCTAATATTTTGTTTGTAAGAAATGGAATTGGCCAATTATTGCACTAAATAATATATGTGCTTAGCCATTGTTATAATATTGAAAATACTATTCTTTTAGTCAATAAATATAAATGAAATATGCTACTTTCAAAATTTTTGGTACCTATAATTTTTTTATGTGTAAAAAATATCCACTAAACTCAGTATTAGAGTATTCCCAATACAATTTTTACTTTAATTTAATTATTTATTTTATTTCTTAATATATAAATTATAGACTAGGTATAATAATTAAATTAAATATACAAATACTAACCTCAATTTTTCTTTTCTTTAGTGGACGTCCTGGACTTACACCAACTTCATGATATTCCTGCATATCTTTCCTTTTAACTGGTCTTCTAGAAGAACTTTCTTTTCTTAAAGATTTTCTATCTTCAATGTGATTTTCAATTGTTAATTTAAGGGCTTCTATCCACTTTTTGGTTTCAACTAATTTGTCATTGTATAAAATAACTTCCTCATCCTGGCAATTGATTTTAAAACATCCCTTATCCAATATTTCAGTTATTTTACTCTTATTTAATGGAAATATTAGGCTGGTTTTTAGTGAATTTACTTTGGGGCCATCTTTTTTCATTTTACAAAACATTATTATGTCGTTCATTAATACTGCATACAATTTTTCACTGTGGGCCTGTTTTGAGGACATTTTCATTAGAATTCCTTCTTTTTTAAGGGTTCTTCCAGGAGTTATAATGTTCGGCTCACCACCACAAAAACATCTATGCAATTCAAGCAACCTTTGAGCATTTTCTTGATCATCAACAACTTTATTAATATGGTCAGCAGCATCATCTATTTTCTCCAAACATTCTATAAAATATGGACAAATTAAAACCACAATGGGTAAATTCTAATATAGGATATTTACCCAAATATAATTATAACTTACCTACAATTAAATTGTAATCCTTTTCCTTAGTGGAGGTCAATTCTTGCAAATGCATTAAAAGTAATTTATACCTTGGCACCCTTTGAATTGGAGTGATAAGTAAAGACGACAACTTTGTCTGTACTTCTGGACGAGTTTCCTGCATTTCTACAAACTTAGCAAACTGAGGATTAACAGCCCTTGCATTCTAAAAAATATAATATATTATATTAAGTTCATACTACGTTAAATAATTATAAACCTACTTGTATTAGTCTTAAAGAATTCTTGTAATCGTAAGCATAAACTGAATATAGTTTAAAAAATGGAGCTACTTTCAAAAATGCCTGAGCAACATTTTTAGTGCCTTCATCTAATTCTTCAAGCAAATTTTTATTGATGCTATATATTGTTTTAATATTCCCAAACAATGTTTCAAAATCGTCTTGTTTTAAAAGCTTTCTCTCCTTGATGGGATTCATAAAAAAGTTAATAATTGTTTCCAACTGACTCACATACTTCATTTCACTATTTATTATCTCTAATAAGGCTCTATTTTTCTTGTAATTTCTGCTTTCCTCCTCTGTTTTCGTTTTAATATCATCCAAAGCATCAAACACAACCTTTTTTGTTTTCGATGTCAAAATATTCCTTTCGTTGATAGCTTTCTTAAGTTCCATGCTAAACTCAATGTTTGCTTTTGGTGTAACAGGTTCATTTGGATATCTTGACTTTTTAACACTGCTTCTTATAGTTTTCATTTGCTTTGGAGTCAAAGCTTCAAGTTTTACAGTAAGTGGAGTTATAACCTTTAGTTTTTCTTTGTTAGCACTTAGCAGTTGCTTTTTGGGCGTCGTTGGCGTTTCTTTAACCATTTTATATCACATTTAACAAACAACACACAGAACATAAGACTATAAAATATTCAAAATGTAATAAATAAACTGTAAACAATACTTAACGAACTTCATGCCACTTGACAGAACGCGGTAAAGGAAAGTTTACTATGTTGCCAAACTTCATTTTTATTTATCTTTAACAAAAACTAAACAAGCTTGTATAAATATATCCTTTTTCTATGAACATAAGAATATGGTCATTTTTACAGTGGTTTACGGTTTTTTGTGTTTTAGTATAAGGCAATAAATTATATTCAAAAAATCGGTACAGCTATACATTGATAATAACGGCAACGCCACTGTTACTTGTTATTTTATTTTTAAATTTCCAAATTAGCTAAAGGCCATAACACAGTGGCGCATAGATTAGATAAAGTAGTGTGCAGTAAGTGCAGTGGCGTAGCGACAGTACCGCGAACGCCCGCCAAGCGGGGGGCCCTAACCTCGTAGGGGGCCCGGCCGATACTTGCCCCAAAACATTAAAATACTTATTTCCATCTTACTTATACTAAAAATTGAATAATAATGAATGATTAATTAAAAATATCATAATTTACTAAAATGTAAGTAGTACTTGATAGTATTGGCCTACCATCACAACATAAATGTAAAACATCTAACGGAACCTTTTGATGAATTTTAAAAATCGCGCTTATTTAACAATTGACAGCGGGTTTACGCAGGAACGATTCAGAACTTGGAAACATGCGCCTAACTCTAAACAAATGAAATGCGCATTTAGTTATGCGTATTATTCTGACAGTTCTGAAGCGTTCTCTTTGCGAACCCCTAAAATTTTGACGATTGTGATTCACAAGTTGTTAGTTTGTTTTTCTTTTATATTCGTATTGGTTCAAGTAGGTTCTTCACAAATATATTTGTTCAGTCACAAATATATTTGTGACTGCTTCTGATTATTTTATTTTTCCACTGTTTTACATGCGTTTCTCGCCGGTCAGCTGTGGTGAGCACAAAGTGGTCTAGTATTTACATGTAAGTATTTCTTTTATTATTGGTTAGTTTAATATTAAAGAGAGTTTAATATATAGAGTTACTGAGTAAATATTATTAACTAAATATACCTATTCAAGGATGCCTGATAAAATTATTATAGTTTAAGGTTATTATTTTACTTATAATTTATAAGTAGGTACAGTGGAGAACCTTATTTTTTTAAATTATTTTTTTGTTACTTTTCGTTTATAAATAATTTAAAAAATCATGTCACCGGATGTATTATTTTTTATTTACAATATAAAACCATCTAATCTAATCAGGGGACCCAGTAATAATTTTCGCGGGGGTGCCCGAAATTTGTCGCTACGCCACTGCCATAACATTTTGAACACAATGTGTGGATTGTGATTTTGAAAAGGAAAAATAAGAAGAAATTTCAATTATATAAATGGTAGTATACATCCTTGTATCAAGGTTCTATATATTATAGCACATAACATTATAGTATACTAAGTATAGTACCATTTCGACCTCCATTTTGGTGCTTGTAAGTAGTGTGTGGTAGCTCTATGAAAAAGTAGTGAAAAATAAGCCCGGTATACCGGTATATATAGAAATATACCTGTATTTTTGGACAATATCTCAAGCTTTGACATTTTAGCGAGGTATTTTGTGATTTGTGCAATACATTGAGTACAATTGTATTAATCTAATGCATGTTTTCTTTTCTTTAAAAAAACTTTAGTTACTCAATAAACAATACAATACAATACAATACTAATTAAAATACATATAGGTATAGCTATAACAGATGAGTATGAGTATGGGGACGTATGGCAGGCCCCATCGACATTGCCTTACACTGATCTCCCAGGTTTATTTTACCCAGGGGCCCTTTCCGTTCTCATGCATATCCCGCAACTTCACAGCAATACCTGTGTTTGTTAGATCCGATTTTTTACGCCGGCTGGTAGCACTCCCCTGGGAGGTCGTGGATGACAAGTCGATGGTTAAGGCCATTTCCGGAATTTTGTCGCCGGGCCGATCATACGTACGCCCAATTTAGGCTAGAGGAGAATGGTGGTAGGTGGGTTAGTACATGCTACAGCCTATCCTTATTGGTGTACTTCCTAGGAACAGCTGTTCGTATCCCAGGTAGCACAACGTGACATTAAAAATTGGAAGTGACGAAAACGAGACAATATTTCGTTACGATTAAGGAAATTTTAATAAAAAGTAAATAAATTGCGTGACGCCAAATTCGTGACGAGGGGTCTATGAAAATACGTGACGAATTTTTTCATAAAGTCGTTAGTCACACGAAATAGTGATAATTTTACTTTAAATTTTGGTATAAAATTCTTGACGTGCAGCTCGTTACAAAAACCTTACAAAATATTTATACAAATCGTCACGAAAACATCACGTTAAGTCGTGACACCAATGCGCAGTCGCCAATAGTCATATGTTCTGTGCATCTCCAGTAGGATCTCCATTTTGAATGATTGGTAACGACTCAAGCCATTGGTTTCTGTAGGTTTTTCTATATTTCTGCAAAGTTTTTAATAGTAAACAAAAGGATAGTTTAAAACCGTAAGTACTTTTGCTTTTCTATATTTCAGTAGCTTAAGACAATTGTCTGCAATGCTAAACAACTACACACTAATCTAAGAAATGTTTTGCTGTAGCAACAAAATATAAGTAACCACAACATTTTTAGTGTGTTAATATATATATATATAACAAATTTATTATTATAGCTTAAGTATTTTAAGTTGAATTTCTACTGAAAGAGGAAAAAATACATTTTTTTGTACGTGAAATAAAATTTAACAAAGCCATGGAGAAAACTACTTATTTCTTTTCATTTTGCAGGTCAATTAAAATTAAAAAATTGGTAACCAACATAACATACACTGTTTTACAGTCGACACTCTGGACTTTAGACTAAAAGACATATTGATGGCAAACACAATTGTCTTGGGTTGTCTCGGGGGAAAGAAATATTACAAAGGATGACGTTGAAAAGCACATTATGCACATTAAGCATACATATGATAAGATGAAATCACAGGTTTGTACTTCAGCTGAACCCTAGTGTTATTTAAGTAAGTTTATTATAAATAAATGTTGCAGTTAAAGAAACTGCAGAAATAAAATAAAAATTTTATACTACATGAATTATTAATTGACTTCATTCATTTCATTTTTTAATTTATAAGAGAAATACTTGTTTATTTTGTTTTACTGTTTTTTATATTAGGTATATTCTAATAAAATAGTGTTTTATTCTACAGGAGAATTAAATTTTTGTGTACTGTTTTATCCTTAAAATAGAAAAATAATTTAATTTTTTTTTCAAAGATATGAAATTTGAAAACTAATTGCAATTATTGCTGGTTTTCAAAAGTGGAGGTATTTTTATTGTATAAGAGTAATATTTTTTTATTTTGTTAGTGTTTTTCTATATAATATATATATTATAGTTTATTGTAGAATATGTTTTTATTGTTTTTCTAATAAAATATAATTCAGTTAAATGTGCTTTCTTTGCATTAACATTGCAAAACTAAACAATCCTAACAACAATATGTTATTATTTGGGGGTGTAATAATATTGTGTAGTGTAATGCAGTGCAGTACAGTATAGTGGGTTGTTCTGTGTATGTGGAATTATTGCTTACCTTCAAAGTTTTGTAATTTGATTTCAACCTGATGATGAGGTTAAAATCAAATTACAAAACTTTGAAGGTAAGCAATAATTCCACAATACACAAAACAACCCACTATACCGTACTGCACTGCATTACACTACACAATATTATTACACCCCCAAATAATGCAACTATACGCCACAATTACGTGACCAGTTCAGTTCACTATTCGGTAACGAAGCGTCGTGAAGAATCCGTGGCGTATTCTTAACTACATCGTGAAGATTTTTATTCATATTAATGTAACGTATTCGTCACAAAAACTATGCTTAAATTTAGCGCGGTTTGGCAACTGTTTTTAATTAAATACGTTACGATTTTTAAATAACGTCCAAGTCACGACTGATTGAAAACGTCTCGTTTACGTCAAGATTTCGTTACGTTGTGCTACCTGGGATGTATATGTTCCCCCTCCCTTGAGGCCTTGAGTTTACGGTGAATTCACCTTTTGCGTGAATTCACCGTGAATACACCGTTTATGTGCAGTGAATATACCGTCCATTTGTGACATTTGTGGACGGTAATTAAACGGTGAACTCACGCTGTTTTTGCGATAAATTCACGGTTAATTCACGGTGATTTCACGGTAAATTCACGGTGAACTCAATACATCTCAGGGCTGCTTACGCAAGCGATAGCGTTGGGTTGCAATATTTAGTTGGAAGTGTGCGTCTGTAATGGCATAGCTGAACATTAATCCTCATCTGCTCAGTAACGAATAATGGCTAGCTATACCCAGTGAACCAAACCGTGACTTATGACCTAAAATTTACGTAACACGTAGATCATATCTAGGTAATTCAATTTTTACGTCATAGTGACATAATACTAACCCAAAACGTGACCAGGGCCATATTAACCATTAGGCAGTATAGGCAATTGCCTTAGGCGCCAAGAAGAAATAGGCGCCTTGTCCCCAACCAACTTAAAAAATTTTAAAAATGGTTTTACAAATATGAAACAAATAAACAATATACAATTATGAGTAGGTACGGTAGAGTACCAAATAATCATTTTTAAAAAATGCGGCTCCCTTTGTAATAACGCGGTGTCAAGCCGACAAAGGCGTGCCGCTCTTTAAGCGTGTGCCGCACTGAAGCGCGTTCCGAAAGAAATTCGCTTCTGTTTTTATGCCCTACAGTGTAGGGCCTACACAAATTTATTTCAGATGAAATTAATCAGTAGTTAGGTAGTTATGTTAGATATCTGTTTGTCTTCGATAGTGTAAATTTGCTATATGTTTTAAGGTAGGTACCTACCTATTTATGAAATGTTAATATTAAACATTTAGTAAACCTACATCTTACAAAGAAATTTAGGGAATTAAAGTTGTTTTACATTTTTTTAAATACTTACTATTTTAGTACATCTTTAATAAAACTTTAGGACCCTAAAAAGTTTTTAGTAAAAACTAAAATTATAC